ACATTATATATGTATATACATTATTAATATTTAAAATAAGTTCTTAAATTTCATTTATTTTACTAAAAACAGAACAGTAAATACAGAAAATAATTCTCTTCTAGTTATGAACTTTGAACTCATTTGCTGCTTGCTGTAGGTTGCTAAGCCATATCAAATTTCACATGTGGAGGATGTGAAATGAAATAATTTTTTTTAGGTTTTATATATACATTTTGAAATAACCAAAAATGATAAATTGCTATATCAATACCATAGAATTCCACTATAATTTATCAAGCTTAGTAACTAAAATGTATTTGGATCTAAAAAAATATAAAATTTTGAGCTTTGAAAAAAAATGGTTTCCTACATAAATAATTTGCAGAGGCTCAAAGAACCACATGGGGGAAATTTTGAGCTTTAGTTTGGTTATTCACATGTCGTAGACATGAGTAGGTGTACGTAAGGAAATGTTTTCAAAAATGGAAAGAGGTGGGTAAGCCACTGTGTTGGATCCAGTAAATGTAGCGATATCTCACCAAATAGAAGATATAGGAGGTTCTTATTTTAGATTCCAGCTTGGTCAATATTGGTAATTTGAGTTCATAATTCGTAAGAAACTATAGACTTTATATTTGGACATCACAAACATCTAATTTCAACCAATGCTGCATTCAACACACCAAGTGATGCACAAAAATCAATATTTATGATTTGTTTTTTAATATTTACTTTTAAATTAAGAAATTAACTAATGATTCATACTAAAATTTTAATTCTAATCTACAATTTGATACCAAACTTATTGACATACATTCCTAAAATAGTAGTTGAATAAAATCTTGAATGTGAGTCATCACACGGCCTTTGACCCATTGTGATAGGGTTAAAGATATCTAAGGCTTAAATGTATTTTTTTTTATCCATAAATTCAACTATATGCAACTACTATAAAAGAAATCATAAAAATTGAGGGCTACCTGTGTTAGCTTTTCCTAATCTTGAAACGATAGATCAGAGAGAAAGCAACTAGTCAACACCATCCACTACCAACTCGTAGGATACTCTAATTGAATAGTGGGATAATCTGAGATGTGTGATACAGGGAATTTTAACATCACATGATAATCATGTTGCTCAGTGAGTACAATATTCTTGAAAGTATGAGAAATAATTTGAACAAAATAAAGATGCCAGCCAGATTAGAGTAGCAGATATAGCAAGTTATTGATCAATTATTGATTCTTTGTTAGTTAGTTCAAAGAAGTAAATTTTGAACTTTTGCTTTACTGTAGTACTAGAATGAATGAATTATTTGTGAAGATAGCTCTATTGTTTGTTTATTATTAGTTACGTTAAAGAACAAGAAATTTGTAGAACTTTCAGCTAAAGAAATAAAATGCTTTCCTTTCTTTAAGTAAACTGAAGTTCGAATTATTTTGACTAAATAATCAAACAGAGCTCTCATAATGATAAAAACTGTTACAACACAAACAATTTCACAAACATATCATACTGTTAGAAAAATAAAACTGTATTAACTGGAACCTAGCCTTTTTTTTTTACAAATCTTAACTTGCATCTATCTTTCCATCCCATTATTTTCACAATATTGCACAAATAAATTAAAGACTTTTATCCTATTAATAATCTTTTAAACTTCAATATGATCATCTCTTACCCCTTTTTTTTTTCTCAAGAGACAAAAAGTTATCTAAACCTATCCCTATAAAGTGGCCCTTCCACCTATGGAATCATCCTATGAGGGGCTATTAGGATGATTTCAGAGATGAAAGAGTCATCTAATCTCTAAGTAAACTCTTGCAAAGTCAACTTAACATAAATGTAAAATTGAAGAAGAACAAGGAACCTATTGGTCCCTCTAGGTTGCCCCATCCAATATATAAATTTATAAGCAAAAAACAAAGGTACAAACTCAAAACCAGTTTTTATCATTAAAATATTTATCAAGCCTTTCCTTAAACTCCCTTAAATTATCTACACCCATCACATCTGAAAGCAACCCTTTCCAAAGGTCAACCAGTCTGTTAGAAAAATAAAACCATCTACACAGATGATGATTCCTACCCTTCCAAAATTTGTATTTTCTTGTTCTGCCATTCTCACTGTTAAATATGAAAAAAAAATGGCACATCAACATTAAAAATCTTAGACATCTCAATCACATCTTTTTTTTTCAAGAGAAAACAATTACAGAAATATTAATCTGTCCTTATGAGACAACTATTCCATTGCAGGTTTATTCCTAGTAGCCCTCCTCTCAACCGTTTCCAACAAATCAATGTTCTAAGGTAAGGAGCCTAAGACTGAATTCAATATTCTAAATGAAGCCTAACCAGTGATCTTTACAATAAAATTATAACTTCTTCAGACTTGTCTACAATATTTCTGTAGGTACAACCTAAAATCTCATTTTTAACACCACTGGCAATAGCACATTGCTTGGTTAAAGATACAAAAACCAAAATTGCATACAATATTCAAAAGTAAAGCCTAAGTAGGGATTTGTATAGAGGGATATTATCCCGTTTGGTGAGAGCCAAATTAGGATAACCTAAATGCATTATCTTGCAATTACTAAAATTAAAGGTCAGTTGTCAAATATTTGTCTAACTTACCAATTCATCCAAAATTCCAAGTCATTCTATAGTACATCAACATCCTAGATAACTAGAACTAGTAGAAATACTCAAGAGTTCAATGTCATCAAAAAAGTTTACTAATTAACTAATTATGCCTATAAAAATATCAATTATCATTAATGTAAATAAAACTAAGCAAAGGCTCAAGCACTGAACCCCGAAGTTCTTCACAACAAAACTCAAAAGGCCAGTTTGACTGGACTCAATTAACAACCTTCGCTTTTTTCCCATCCAGCCATCCTATAAAGTACAAATAGTGAAATACACAGAGTTCACATCCTTTCCCGTTATCCAAATAACATCCTTGAAAAAATATAACAAACTGGTAAGACGACATTTCCCTTTACTTTAGCTTTAGTGAACCCATCTCAGTTTTCACTTATAATTCAATTACTACTTATTAAGTCAAATACATAGCACAAGAAGTCTTAAAAGTTTACTTAATAATTGATTTTAGCTTAACATCACTAACCTACCTAATTTTCACAAATAAATGTAAAGTAGTTGTACATTATTATTATTATTATTATTATATACCTCTGTAATTTTCAGTTCCATTCACTCTACCTACACCCACCAGTTATCACACGTCCTCATCGAATTAAATTTAATGCTACATCATTCCACTGCATTGATATTTTAACCGACGTCATTCCTGATGACTGTATACGATCAATTACTCAATCGCCATCTATCGTCCACAATGTTTTTTAGCAAACTATCAGTTTTCAATAAACAAATATTCACTTTATAAAATTTGAGATGAATTCTACTCACGTTTATTCTGTTAGCAGTTTTAAGAACCAGAATATTATCAAATACGTAAGTGCTGAAATTGCACTCTCAGCAATTATAATGTACACACACACACACCATGTAGAAATATACATATAATACCTCAAGAACAAATACACAAACATGCTCAAAAATTTTATAAAGTATCTAAAGATTAAATACATAAACGTGATCCCGATAATATTAATAGTGTATAATTGAAACAAAATATTATGCTTTTAGATCAGTTGGTCTGAGAAATTTAATAGATTGCAATTACCTGTTGAGTGAAAAAGAAAATGAATGACGTTTTGGCTTCTGTATTGACGCTTTGTTCAAGTCACTGTAGATTCAGTTCAGTTCATCATGGCAGGTATATAGGCTTGAAGACAGATTTGCTCAGAAATTTATGTTTACGGACTTACATCACTATAAATCGGGTTTCGATACCCGTGGTGGGCAGAGCACAGATAGCCCGTTGTGTAGCTTTGCGCTTCACTTCAAAGAAAGAAAGGAAGAAAGAAAGAAAAGAAATACTCAGAAATTGACAATGTTCTATTTATCCAGCTCGTGGTAATGAAGTGTAATTGGGAATCTTGGTGGTAAAAGTAAAAAATAAAAATAAAAAAAAGATGGTGGAGAGATAATTGGATCCATCGATAAGAATGTATTTAGATAATAGAATCTGACTCTGGAGAAGAGCTAGGAATCAAAACGATTCTGTGGAGTAAAACAGAAGGACCACAAGAAAACCCCACTTTGTCTGGCCAGGCGCCGAAAATTTTACTCTACCAGTGCCGAAACTGTTAATTTAGTCTGGGGGAAAAAATTCCCATTAATAAAACCATACATGTATGAGTTACTACATCGGTGTAGTTTGCTTATTCGTGTTTATTGAATTGTGGCAGGTATCTAAGTTATTCAAAACTAAGGGTGAGCAGAAACTGAACATTTTCTTTTCGCCCCCTCATGCGTAAAAGACGTAGTAAATTTTTGCGAAAAATAGCGAGAAAGGGCGAAATTTCTCCCGACTTTAACCTCACACAGACAATTGCCGCAAAGAAATCCGAAAAAGCCCAAAACGCCTCCAGAACTGGAGATAAGTTTTGATTTCACTTGTGGCGTTGATTCCTCTTCGGGATAATCTGGATCTTCCTTTCTCTAAGTAAACTTTAAACCTGCGAGAAAGAAAAAAAGTAATAGGACCATGAGACCAATGAAGCTAGTAAGGTAACCAAAAATATAATGCCCATGATCAGTGTGTCAATTAGAGGCTTCAACTCCACAGGACCTACTGCCACCAATTGGGGTTGCTCAGCCAAAGGAGATTTCAGGGTCAATCCAACAATGGATGGAGTGAGGTTTTCCATGTTCAATGTATTGGCCAGCGATGCATTTTCCTCCATGGTCTTCACCACAGTAAATGGTAGGATAACTCCAACAGTTAAAGATTTGGTGCCATAGTCTGCTTCTTAACTGCAGAAAAAATCATAGACATATTGGTCTTCATTAAATTGATGATCCATAAAGTAGTTCAGAAAATATGTTAGGAGATCCTCAGCATCAAGACAAGATAACCACTGACTGGTTGATGAAATCAATAGCCAGAACTTTATTGAAATAGCAAAGGTCTAGTTTGAAAATGTAAAATCAGGTGAATTCCAATAAGAATGTAGTTAGGTGTATAGGCTTAAAATTGTCATAACTGCTCAATTAAAACCATGATCTGTTCAAAACCTTTAAAGGCTAGGATATATCCCTGTACTTTGTGCATTTGAAACTTCTATGCCCTGTATTAACCACAGAAATTGTATCCCTAACACCTGTGAACTTCCCAATCCCCAGGCTTCATTTGACCAATATATTTATCTACGATATCCTCTTTCATCCCTTAAAGACAGCAACCAATGCAGCTTTCTCTCCATCCCAACCACATTGTCTGGTTATCAAATATATGGAACTCTATTCCATTAGGAACAAATGGGGAGACTACAAAACTGGTTCCTACACACATGAGCTGACTCACTTTAAGCAAACCAATACTTAATTCTGTCCATAAGAACCCTTTAATGCTTAGATTACCTCTCCTTAGCGACCTACTTCCAGTTAATAACTTTCAACACTTTCAGTAACTTTCAAATATCAACACTGGTACATTCTTTCCTTTATAGGGAGCATGCGTTTCTGCCAAACATGAGCACGTTTGACAAGCGGCCTGTAGACCTTTGTTCAGTTGCTCTGTATGTCACTATAATGTATAGCAAGACTTGTGCAAGTCAGTTGAACCAGGATTAAAATTTTAACAAGCATGTGCTTTGTATTTTGCGTCATCTGTACTGCCAAACTGTCAAACTGAAGTGCTAAGATAACGTGTACATCTTACCACACCCAACACTTTAAACAGAAAAGAGGATAACTGGCTGTTAAAATTAGCTCCCTGATCCGTGTGGATCTCTCCCAGTGCTCTAAATCATGCTATCTAGAGTTCCACCAAAATATCGGTCATGGACTGTGCCAATGTATAAGCCTTGGCCAATTTTGTGAAGTAGTCAATGGCAATAAGTATGTAGCAATATCCTCTCTAATTCTTTGGAGTGGGCCAGCAATATTCAGGACGATCTTCTATAGAAGTGTAAATCATGGCATCCATCAACAAGTGGAACTTCCTACTACATGATTTGATGTTGATATGGTAGAAATAATGTCAACTCCTACATGATTTCCAGGACCAGGATATTCTATGAATTAAAAGGATCAAACCATGCAATGAGATAATCTTTTTAGATTTCGGCATTGTGGGCCTGGACAGTGCACTATGACAAAGTCATATTCTTGTACCATTGTTATCCAATGTGCTCTCATCTCTTTCTCATTTTAAAAGCTCATTAACAATTTCAGCAAAGCATGGTCCATCCACATAATGAGCCTCCTACAATCCAAGCAATGGTTACAGTGCATTATGAAGTATACAACAACAAACAGTTCTTTCTTTGTTATAAATTATTTGTATTCAGGGGCCATGAGCATACGACTAGTATATGCCATTATATGCTCTATTCCATTCTGCAACTGTGATGACACTGCTCTGATTTCATTATCTATGGTGTTGGAACTCAGTATGAAACTTTTATCTTGTCATCATGGATAAACCAACACTAAAGCCTTCACTAAAGCAAGTTTTAGAGGTTGGAATGATTGTTCACATTCCTTGCACTATTCAAAGCGTTTTTCGGTTTTAATGAGACAATGGTGCTGCTACCTTGGAGAAAATGGCCATAAACTGTTGGTGAAATGGTGCAAACCACATTTGGTCACAGATATAGGTCACTTTCTGACTGCTGATATCTTAACATGGTCTGTAGAGACCCCATCACTACCTATAATATAACTGAGACATTCCACCTCTGTGCCCATGAGCATGCAGTTTTCTGGTTGCAATATCAAGCCTGTTTTCTTTATCTGCTGGAATACCATTCTCAAATTCTAACCACAGACTAAAATGTGATACCATACAACAAAAATCATCAACACAGATCAGTCATATCTCCCATTACAGTCCCTCCAGTGTAAGCTCCATTAGCCTCTTGAAAGTTGTGTCTGCATTACACAGGCTGAATGTCATAATGCAATACTCATACAACCCATCTTTTATTCTGAAAGATATCTCAAGCCTATTGTTGTCATCCAGATTAACTTTCTAGCGTCCAGATGTCAGATATAAGGTTTTAAACCAATGTGAATCTTCCAACACATTTAGATTTACATCTGTTCATGGCAAATAGAAAGTTGCTATGTTTACATGTCTAACATAAGAGACAGAATTTTGGTATACATTCCTTCTTCCCAAGAAGTATGACTGGAGCTAACAAAGCACTCAGTAAATTGTATGATTCCACAATACTTCAGTGCTGGATACATCCCTAATGTTCCATGAAAGTCAGCAGGATAGCTGCTTCGTCACACATACATCTCATATATATCTATGTTCTGGTGAGACATTGTGATTTATCTCAATTGTCCAGTTGGTCCCATATAAACTTTGGCATACTGAACCACAAATAACTGAGTTGTTTCATTATATTATATCCAGATAATTTGCACAATCCTCACCAATTACCTCAGATATGCTGGTAGCTGCATATTTCCTTTCAGATGTGGCATTACAGGTGCAACCCTAGAGTTACTTCTAACCTTGGTTACTTCCACTTCTCAGACAGATAACTGCCTGAGCTAATGCTGCTTTGTTTCTAGACCAGAAATAATATATTTCTTGTACGAGCTCTATAACCAAGTTACATGGCACTGACACAGTAGACTTTGTCCATTGTCAACTATGGAACTCTACTTGTGTATATAGAAACATTGGTTTTCCTTCCTCTACGTATATTCATGCAGTTCTCTGTTCCTGTACTTTAATGTTTAATATTTAATAATTCCCACATGGAATATCAGCTCACTGATTGCACAAGCAAAATTTACTTATAATTTCTAAGTTTTCCATCTTGAGATTGCTAATGATATCAAATATATCCACCTTTATTCTATGAGCGATATCTCCATCCACATCTAGTCTATCATCATTTGCAAAAACAAAGTCAATATTCATTGGCTGGGATGATAATCTCACTTGGTGGGCTCAAGATATCATTCGATTTCAGTCTCTCAACCTTGTACCCTCACTGATAAAAACTACGTTCTATCCAGCTCCGACAGATCTAGGCAGACCACCAAATATTTTGAAACAAGATGACTGATGTGTTCTCCAAGTCAGTGATCAGGTCTATATTGGATTCCATTGATTTTCTGGAGCTTTAGTGGCAGCATTTACGATTGTTGTTAATTCTTGTGGATCTGTTGAACTATTGATCAAAATTAATAGCCCTGTTCT